AGTAGGGGGCGCGGGTGCCTGATCCTCTCGGGTATCGCGTGTCCTCACCATCTGTGAGAGAATAGAAAGACAGAAGTTTAGTTGTGATGTCAAAATCTCGCACAACAAGGAAATCAAATGAAGTGGAATTTACCTAACAGTTACATAGCCTCCCGTAGATAAGTACAGACGTCTCCGTACCGATCATCGAGACTCTAATAAACTGGCCTGTGTTCCGTGACTCCTATGAATCTGGAGCTTTGATACCAACTCGTCACGACCCCAGTTCGCCCTCTGTGAACTCTCGTGATGGCACCTAGTCCCTACGACTAGTTAAGCCTAACAAGTGCGAAAGAACAATTGAAACCTTGCAGAAATTATAACTTAAAACCAAGATTCAACAAAATGGAAAAGAAATGTAAAATGCCACTCGGCACATACAGCACAATATCTCAAACTTCTACAATACTATCTCAAAACTCGGAAACTCACGGGAACACAAGCTGAGAGAAATATAGTAAAAACGCTCTAACTCCGGAATGTCTACATCAGCAGTATGATAGAAGGGCTAATAATACAAGATAGAATAAATATGGAGACTCTTTAGTCTGCGGACGCGACAGATGTACCTCGAAGTCTCCAAAAGCTCTCCCTGCCTCAAGGATAGTAAGCCTGTGTAGAAGTACCTGGATCTGCACACGAAAAACATGCAGAAAGGGCATGAGTACACCACAGCGGTACTCAGTAAGTGCCAATCCTAACCTCGGTTGGGTAGTGACGAGGAAGGTCAGGGCCCTACTGAGGTTAAATAAGATACAGGTTTAACAATGTGAGATGACAGTGTAATTAAATAGCACAAGATATAAAGGACAGCAACAACTATTACAAAGGCAAGTAAAACTCAGTAAAAGAACATAACTCAACTCCGAGATAACAACCGGGGATCTCCTAGGATACCGTCCTGTAGTCCCCAAATATAAATATCATGTCTAGTGGATCTCCCGGGTGCAGTCCCGCAGTCCAACTCATAAAGTGCAGGGGGATCTCCCGGAATGCAATTCCTAGTCCCAAAGTAAACATACAGGGGAGCTCCCGGGATACCGTCCCGTAGTCCCAAAATAAAGTGCAGGGGGATCTCCCGGAATACCGTTCCGTAGTCCCAAAGTAAATACACAACAACAACAGAACTCAATTCAATCAATTTCATATCAAAGTGAAGCAGGTAATCCTAACCTAGCATGGTTCACGTAGTACAATTAAGGCAGTGAAGACAGATAAAGCAATTTAGTCAAGTAGACATGCTTCTATAAGCTACAGCAAGTTTAAATATCAAACAGTGTAAGCAAAGAAAGGAGGAACACAATACAAAATCAACTCGAAACCACACGTTTGCCACGAGTATCCGACTCCAAATGGCCCAAATCTATTCAATTCAATCACATGTCATAAATAACATCTCAAGCAACTGATTCTACAATTTAATCAAAACCTAATACGCGAAATTATGTAAAATTACCAAAATGCCCCTCAGGCCAACATCTCGGAATCGGGTGAAATTTATATTTCAGAAACCTCGTACTCTCATGAGTCTATACATAATAAGAACACTGAAATCGGAGTCCAAGTGACCCCTCAAATCCCCAATTGTAGGTCTCTTAAACTCAAGCCCTAGTTACCCCCTTTTCCAAAATTTCTCACAATTAATTATGCCTTTAATCACATAAAAACGAGTTATGAAGTCAAGGACATTACCTCCAAGTGATTCCCCTTTGATTTCCTCAAAAACCCCTCTCAAAAGCTCCAAACCTGGATGAAAATGGTGGAAGAATAGCCAATTTTCCCAAAGGCAACTATTTATATGATCCGCCCAGCTACTTCCGCATTTGCGACCCTGGGACCGCATCTGCGGTCCTGCTTCTGCGGATAAAAAGTCGCACCTGCAATTTTCATTAAATTGTCAAGCTTCCGCATATGCGGTCCTCCACTCCCAGATGCGGTTACGCTTCTGCGGAAGGTCCACCGTATCTGCGGAACCTGAAGAACCAACCAAAATTCGCTTCTGCGGTCTCCTTATCGCATCTGCGGTTCCGCTTCTGCGGGCCTCACACCGCATCTGCGGTTTCTGAAGGAATGACCCCAAGCCACTTCTGTAGTTCTTTAGTCGCTGCTGCGGCGCCGCATCTGCGGTTCCCAAGCCGCAGATGCGAAAATACCAGAAGCAGCAACACTTCTTCAACCTCCCCGTCAACCATCAAAAATCATCCCGAGGCCCTCGGGACCTCAACCAAAAGCACCAACAACACCTAATACCTCATTCAAACTTGTACCAATCCTTAAACCACCTAAAACAACGTCGGAAACTCGAATTAATCAAGAACTTAAGCCTAAAAACTCCAAATTTCCTCAAAATACGCTTTCGATCAAAAACCTAACCAAACCACCTCCGAATGACCTCAAACTTTGTACACACATCAAAAATGACATAACGGAACTACTGCAACTCTCGGAATTCCATTCCGACCCTCGGATCAAAATCTCACTATCGAATCGGAAACTTAAAAATTCGAACTTTTGGCATTTCAAGCCTAAATTAGCTACGGACCTCCAAAACACAATCCGACCATGCCCCTAAACCCGAAATCACCTAACGGAGCTAACGGAACCATCGGATTTCCATTTCGATGCCATCTTCACACTGTTCGGACTACGGACTACTTTCCAACACTTAAGCTCTCATTTAGGGACTAAGTGTCCCAAAACTCTCCGAAACTCAAAACCGAATATCCCGGCAAATAAAAATAGCAGAAATAAACTTGGGAAGAGCAGTTAATAGGGGATCGGGGCGTAAATTCCAAAAATCACTGGCCGGGTCGTTACAGAGCACAATACTATGGACTTTGTGGTAGGTTCGTCACATTTTTGAGAAAGTTCGATGCCATTTGGGTCACTATTGATAGAGTAACCAACTTTGCACATTCTATTTTGGCAATGACTTCTTACACTTCAGAGAAATTGGCTGAGATCTACATCAGAGTGATTATTCTCCTGCATGGTGTGCTCGTCTCTATCATTTTAGACCGAGGCACTCAGATCATATTGCTCGTCTCTATCATTTGGGTTGTTAAGCATGAGTTTGGCACAAGGGTGGAGCTCAACACTGCATTTCACCCGCAGACGGATGGGCAATCCGAGCAGACTATTTAGATCCTTGAGGATATGTTAAGAGCCCGTGTTATTTATTTTGGAGGCTATTAGGATCAGTTCCTATCATTGGAAGAGTTTGCTTACAACAGTAACTATCAGTCCAGTGTTCAGATGGGTCCATATGAGGCCTTTTATGGTAAACAATGTCGTTGTCCGATTGGTTGGTTCGAGCATTGTGAGGCTAGGTTATTGGGTACAGACTTGGTATGCGATGCTTTGGAGAAGGTGTAGTTGATTCAGTAGAGGCTTCACATAACTCAGTCCTGGCAAAAGAGATGTGCTGATAGGAAGGTTAGCAATGTGACTTTTATGGAGGGTGAAAAGGTGCTTATGAGGATTCAACCTATGAAGGGCTTGATGATGTTTGGGAAGAAAGGAAAATTGAGCTCGAGGTTTACTCTCTATTTGAGGTCTTGGAAAGAGTTGGCAAGATTACTTATATGCTTGATTTGCTTCCTAATCTTTTGGAAGTTCATCCATTATTGCATGTTTCGATGCTCTAGAAGTATCAGATAGAGAAGTCGCATGTTTTGGACTTCATCATAATGCACTTAGATGAGAATCTGGTTCGA